ACAGGAGTAGAAAGTTCTCCCATGGAGCTGCTGGTGGTTTCAAACGGCTAACCTTGTAGTTTAGCAGCCTGATGCTGTAACCATGATACCACTGGGGCTCCACTAAGCTCCTACTGAGTGCCCAAAGAGCCCTGGTACGTTAGGTAAGTGTCAGGATGTTAACCTCAAGGAAAATAGTTCAAATCCACCAGCTGCTCAGAGGGGAAGAGCTGCGCTGTCTCCTGTAAAGGTGCACCCCCTTGAGAACCCTTTGGGGAAGCAGCAGTCTGGGTGCAGTGGGTGGGTCTAAAGGCCAGCCAGATAGTCCTCCAGCTGACAGGTGCTGCTGTTAGGTACTGACTCCCGGCAACAAGACATGACTGGCATCCGCGAGGATAGCTCGTGGTGAAGACAAGCTGTTGCACATCTGGTGGTTTTCCCGACAGTACTTACTCTGCCACTCGGCTCGCTCCAGGACCCATGGAAGCCAAATGTTCTGATGTGTTTTTATCGCAATGTTTTCCTACACGGTTTTCAAAAGCATGCTTTAAATTATTCCAGGCCCAGAAATCCAGGGTTGGGAAGAACTCAGGACACATCTGGTCTGATGTCTTACTCTTCAGATGAAGGTGCCACGGAGGCCCGGGGAAGCTCACGGGGTGGTCTCCAGATCCCCCCCAGCCCACGCCCCGTCTTTGCTTCCTAGGCCCACAGCCCACAAAACAGCCCAAGCGGGAGACTAAAGAACAGCAGGGGCAGAGGCTTGTCCTGAAGGGCTGGAGACTAGTCTGAATTCAGGGGCCAGCGGGCGAGCTCAGCTGGCTCTGGCGGGAGGAGAGGTTCCCTTTCTGCTTCCGCTTCTGGCAGCCCCGCACCCTTTCCTGGAGCTCCTGGGCTTCTGGATACATCGTGTCTGCCCCCTGGGTGCCTCTGTTTTCATGTCTGCTCTTCTCGAAGATACCACGTGGAAGGGATTAGGGCTACCCTCCACCCCACTCCAATAGGACTTCGTTGATTTGTTCGTTCATTCTTTCTTGTAGCAGTTTTACTGACGGAGTTCATGCACCATACAATTCAATGGTTTGAAGTTATTAAAAAGAGTTGCATTCGTGGGGAGGAGACGAGCCAGTTAGGGTGCAGTGTAGCAACGATGAAACATACAGCCTTCCTCTAGTTCCTAAATGCTTCCGCCCCCTCCACTATCATGACCCCAATTCTACAAGTCTAGCTAGACCAGAGGATGTACACTGGTACACATAAGAACTGGAAACACAGGGAATCCAGGACAGATAAACCTCTCAGGACCAATAATGAGAATAGCAATACCAGGAGGGGAAGGGGAGGGTGGGGTAAAAAGGAGGAACCAATCACAGTGACCTACATATAACCCCCTCCCTGGGGGACGGAGAACAGAAAAGTGGGTGAAGGGAGACGTTGGACAGTGTGAGACATGAAAAAAATTTTTATAAATTATCAAGGTTCATGAGGGAGGGGCGGGGAGGGAGGGGCAAAATGAAGAGCTGATACCAAGGGCTCAAGCTGGGCTGCCAAGGGGCTAAGTTCTGTGAGTACCATGTATGAGCCCCAAGTTCTCAGAGAGAGAATTGAACTCATCTTGCAATTACAGCCATTCTATCAAGCATCACACACTGTGTGTTTTCAGGAAAGGGGTTTTCAGGCAAAACACACACACACACACACACACACACACACACACTCATTCAATTCCACTGGGGAGGAGAGCTGCAGCTCAAGAGAAGCCTGCCTGTCCACTTAGCTCGGAGAGGCATGTCGTTTCCACAGTGAAATCAAGCCTCAGTTCCCATATTACAAAATGTGCCCCAAACCAAACTCCTGCTCTTCATCCCTGGCCAAACTCTCACTCCCACAGTTTTCCCATTCCATGAAACGACCACTCTCCTGCGCCAAAAACCTTACTGCCATCCCTGACTCTGGACTTTTTCTCATCCCACCAGCTAATCTTCAGCAAATACTGCTGGTGCTGCATCCTCCAGAACCGGATTGCTTCTCCCTATTCCTGCTGTACCGCTTCTCTCTTAGCAGGAGTATCACAACAGCCTCCCAATTGGAATCCCAGTGGCCACCCTTCACCCCTCTTCTCAACACTGCAGTGAGAGTGACTGTGTTACTCCAGATAAGACTTGATTTGGACTGGGCTTGAGATGTTTTTTTAATATACAATTACTCTTTATATAAAGCTCTTTCTACTATACACACAGGTGTCTATGAATTTGTTTCTCTAGTCTTCTCTGATGAAGACAGTGACCCTTCTACAAAATTGACAGGTCATTCTCCTGCTCAGATATTCCAATGGCCTACCATCTCCCTCCGCTTGGAGCAAAAATGGCTCAGCGGCCCACAGCGTTCCATAGGTTTGGTCCTCCCTGGTCATTCTCCCCTCCCCCACTTGATAGTCACCAAATACACTAACGATGCCCCATCTCAGAACGCTTGTCTCGCTAGGCAGCCCCTTGATCTGATTAGTGCCAAGTCTGTGCGACGAAGAAGTCTACTTCCATAAGGAGTTACAGTCTCCGAAACCCACAGGGGCAGTGCTGACCCTTCTCTGTAGGATAGTTATGAGCCAGAAACAACGCAATGGCAAGGAGTTTTAGGTTTTAAGGAGCCCTAGTAGCATAATGGGTTCTGTGTTGGGCTGCTAACCACAAAGTCAGCAGTTCAAACCCACCGGCCAGTCTGCAGGAGTAAGAAGAGGCTGTGTGCTCCCAGAAGTATGTATACTCTTGGACACCCAAAGGGGCAGTGCTGCATGACCCTACAGAATAGGGTCGCTGGAGTGGGAGTCGGCATCGACTCAGGGGCAGCGAGTCTAGTGGATAGAGCTGCCACAGGTACTGTAGGAGAGCTTCACTTTTGAGTACTAGGAGAGGAACCCTGGTGGTGTAGTGGTTATGAGTTGGGCTCTGATCTGCAAGGTCAGCAGTTTGAAACCACCAGCCATTCAGAAGAAAGACGGAGCTTTCTACTCCTGTAAAGTTGCAGTCTGGGAAACCCACAAGGACAATTCCGCCCTGTCCTGTAGGGTCACTGAGTCGGGAGTTTGCTCTTTTGCTGGTTTGAGGTGTGCGGAAGGCTGAGGTTTATAGCGGGAGTCCCTCATCCGAATAGGTTCATCTTCCTTTGCGTTCTTTCTGACCCCTGCCAGCGGTATCAAACGCTTTGCCTGCGGGCAGAGTGCTTTAAAGTGGTTTACTGCCACTCACCTAGCTGGCCCTAGGAGGGGCCGCTTCCTCCTTAAGGACCTAAATCTAAGTGTCCTTGATAGAACGTGGGGCACGAGGGCCACAGTCATGAGTCCTACCCTGACTGCGCCGGTTGGAGTGCTGAGCCAACCTCATTGGCTTCTGGAACCTGCAACAGTGTCCACATCCCGCATCCCGGTCATGGCCCCTCTCCCGCGTCTGTGATGATTTGATTTCTTGCCAATCATGATTTGGTGAGCTTCCTTTGTTCTCCATGTCCTTCTCGAATGGCCGGGTTTCCATGATTCCTGGGACACCATGATGACCTTATGTGGATGGTCTCCCAAGGGAGCAATTCTACTCTACCCTGCCAAGAGCGCCTTATCTTTGTCCCGTCTCATACTCACTTTATACATCACATTTGACTCTGGGGCAGGATGTGCCCATAAGGAAAGAGCCGCTGGGTTTCCCTCTCCTATTTCTCCTATTTCCTTCAGGCTATTACGGGCTGTCACTCTCCAGGAAGCTTCGCTGACCACTCCTTTTAAAATTGTACTCTGCATGCACGAATACACCCATCCACCATCCACGAATGCTCCCTATCCACCTTCCCCGGTCAGGTTTTACCCATGATTCTGACCACCACTTGGCAGGCTCTCTCTTCTTTGTCTCTAAAGCAGTGCAGCCCAACAGAGGGGCTATCAACCCCGGGCGGATATGCAGATTGAGTTCAAGTGAAAGACTGGGTTTCTGAGTCACGCCAGCCACATTCCAACGACCCACTAGTCACTCACTCTGTGTGGCGGCTGTTGTCCTGGACAACACGCACACAGACAAGCTGTCCTAAGTCATGGGAAGTTCTAGGGAGGGGGCTGCCCTAGAGGATGAGCTTCACAGACCCAGGTATTTTGTTCCTTGGCTCCAAGCTGTGTCTGTGGAACTCAGCACAGTCTGCCCAGTGCACATGACCTTGTCAGTTGTCCGGCAGGCCCCTTGGTTTCTGCCGTAAGTAATGCCATCCACATATACGGCGTTGGGGTTGTACGCCCGTCAAGTGGTTTCCAACTCACAGCAAGCCCACACCACAGAGTGGAACTGCCTCCTGGGGTCTGCGAGGCTGGAGGCACTCTTCACAGGAGCAGACAGCCAGATCTTTGCTCCCACAGAATTGTTGGTGGGTTCAAGTAGCCAACCTTTTGGTTAGCAGCCAAACACTTAACCACTGTGCCACCAGGGCTCTTGCGCGCACACACACACACACACACACACACACACACACACACACGCCCATGGAACTGTCCTGGTCTTAGGAAGGCAGTCATTGCAAGAGGATATGAGTGCGCATGTGGAAACTGTCCTCAGCCTATGGAGAGACTGTTCTCCATAGAATCACCTCGGCAGCCCAAATCCAGTTGTTTTCACACGCGTCTATCTGATTCTGACATCAAGACCATGGGTTAATGACATCCTTTCTATTTCTTTTGGATACAAACTGGAAGAGGTGGGCCCTGGTGGCATAGTGGGTTACACCTTGTGCTGTTAACCTCAAGGTCTGCAGTTCAAAACTAACAGCTGCTCCAAAAAACACAGATGGGGCTTTCTACTCCCCCAAAGATTTACAGTCTCGGGAAACCCACAGGGGCAGTTCTACTCAGCCCGCTAGGGTCTTGATGAGTCAGCATCAACTCGATGGCAGTGAGTTTGACGGACTCTGCACACAGCAGACACAACTAGTTGATCAGAGTAAAGGTGATGTGGCTGCAGGGAAAGGGCACACCCACGGGTGCACACACTCACAGAACGGGGTGAACGATCAGCTCCGGGCTGTAAGACTTAATCACAGGTGCGGCCTCCTTGGTACAGAACACGTGGGTCAAATCTGCGCCCTGGGAGAAGAAGCATAAGAGAGGGGCTGAAAACAGAGGGGGCGTCCTCACGAAAACCAGACACTGTCAAGCATGAGGCATTGCCCAATAATTCAACAATAAGCTCAACGATTCACTTTACTCAGTATTATATGTAAAAGGGAAAAACATATATATATATATATATTTAAACCCAAAGGATAAGAAATATAAAGGAAATGCCTATACATAACATTGGATATTTGCTGCCCACTAAGAGGCCAAAGCCACACAGCGTTAACTCAAAGCAGCTCAGACTTAAAAGATAGTTTTCTGCTTCTGAACCTTCATTTGGGAGGGTCCACGGGAAGTCGTACAGCTGGGGATTCCAGCCCATTTCTGTTCCCTACTCCCATGTGATCACAATGCACAGGCAATGGGCTCCTGGAATAGGTTTCAATTGCTTAAATTAGAACCCGGCAGCAGCATCAAGGGTCTTTTTCTTTTTTTTCCTTGTTTAACCATTTTCAGTGTGAATGGAGTGAAGGCTTACAGAGCAGCTCATCCATTCCGCATTCAACAATTCTTCCACGTTTTGTTTACAACCACCCATGGCAACCCCTCCAGGGCCACCGCTGAGCCCCCGTCCCCCCTGTGGCTCCTGTCCTAGGCCTCCTTTCCCAATCCTTGGGCTTTTGTCTTTGAGTAAATGCCTTTCATCTTGAATGGTTGATTATTCTACGTGGGGCGAGTTCTAATAAAAAAAAGTATGATGCTAATAAAATCTGATTTTTAAAACATTGAATTCAAGCCATTTTGTCACCGGTGGCTTAGAGGGAGCGCAGTGGTTGTGTGCTGGCCTGGTAGCTGAAAGGTCAGCAGTAGCAAACCACCAGCAGCTCCTCGGGAGAAAGACAGGGCTTTCCACCCCCGTAGAGAGGGACAGTCTCAGAAAACCACAGGGGCAGTTCTACCATGGCCTAAAGGGACACTGTGAGTCGGCATCAGCTGGATGACAGTGAGGGAAGTTTTCAGAAGGGTATCTAGGGTGGTGGCCTTAACTCCATTGTTGGGTCTCCAGTGACTAAGCCTCCGCTGAATTCTTTCTGACCATGAACTGGCAGTGTGACCAGCTGTGCCTTCAGGCAGAACGTATTAGAAAGTAGAGCACAGCCGTGCCCCTAGCCAGCCCAGGGAGGGGCAGGCCGGTCCGTAGGCTGCAAAAGGGATTAGGGTACTGGGGTAGTGACTTTGCAAGTTTTTCTACCTGGAATTGTGTAGATGCGCCCACCAGGGTTCCTTTCCTGCTTCTGTAGTCCCACCTGTGACGGGATGTATGGATCTGCCGCTAATCATGTGTTTGTGACAGCCTCCGTCGTTCTGTTGATTCTTAGATACCGTCATGACCTCACGCCCACCGTTTCCCTCATCCAGGTGAGGAAGCTTTCTCTCTATCATGTCTTTGTCCTGGTTAAGGGTTAATAAATGGGTCCCTCTATAAATGGAATTTGGATTTGGTGTCGACTTTCTCCCCCACATCACTGGACCAGTGAGAACAAGCGTACGGCTTTTCCGATGACCTATGATTACCCTACGATGATATCGAGATGCTATTTATTTCTATCGGGATGCATTTGCTTTATTCATTTTTAAATAGCACAACTCTCTATTAGGAAGCAAATCCCAGTAAGTTTTAAGCAGACGTACATACCACTTTGAGAGCTGAGATTGCTGCAAAATATGGGGCTCCAGTGTACCTGAAAACAAGATGGGGAGAGTCACAGAACTACCTGAGACTGCGGTGCACCAAAAAGCACCAGACATGAAGCAGACAGCACAGTGTTCACACTTGGTGGGTGTTCAACAGAAAGGAAAACAAATGAACAACTTTGCACGACAGCCTGCCTGACAGCCTGCCTTCATGGAACGGAGGAAGAACGGGGTGGGGTGGGGGGTTCACAAATTTGAGGGAGAAAATCCACTATCTTTTGGTTCTTTTCTCCATAAACGTTTCAAAGCCCTCTCCTATGTTCAGACTAAAGGGCTGGAAATATAACGAGAATTTACCACGAGTGAAGGGGATCCAAAGCTGTCCAGACAAGTCAGGACACAATTCTAAAAACTACCAGTGTGCAGAGGTGAGAGTCATCTTGTATGTGGGGCCAAAAGACCACCTATACCTCACCCTGCTTCCAGACTTCCTGCAACTGTAATTTCTTAATGTCATTTCAAGGACAGAAAAGAACATCGTTGCACCTAACTAAGTGATTGTAACATTGAAGCTATTTCCCAGCAGTTATTAATGAGTACTAACCAAGTTAAAACACCCTGGAGAATCATACTGAGCCCACAGAAAGAGAAGGTTGGGTACTTTACACACATGAAGCTCTCTCAGTGCAAGAGACAGAGCACGTGTGCCCGTGCAAATGTGCACACACACACACACACACACACACACACGTGAAGATCAACCCCACCAGTAAGAGATATGCATTAAAAAAATGAAAGTGTGTTTGCCTACTGAACTTACAAAGACTGATAATACCTATTGACAAGGGTTTATAATACAGGCCCCCAACCTTACTTAGTCCACCATCTATTTTCAAGGGGAAAAAAATTTACTCAGCATCACTCTCCCTGGCAATTTTGTACGAGAGCCCATAATCCAGAATAAAGTGTTGGTATCTGCGTTGACAGCGCTCTTGTGCCCCCCTGATGGTTCCAGCATCCACCAGGGGGCGATATCCCCCACTTCTGGGAACACTGGTGTAATAAGTACACAGGAGTGAAATTTGAGGGGGTTGAAGTAGACAATTGGCCATATTTATCAATATTTCAAATGAATGCATACCCTGTTTCCCCAAAAGTAAGACATCCCCCGAAAATAAGACCTACTTACAGTTTTGCCTCTCGCTGAAATATAAGTAAGGTGACCAGATTTTTAACATTGGTAAAGAGGGACAGTATTGACTGGGGGGTGGTTCTTGATTAAAAATTTGGTCTATATGGAGCAACAAAAATTTTCATAGAACGCAAAAATAGTATTGTAATATATTTTTTAAATTTCAACATAAGTACAATTTACAAATATAATGCATTAAAACATTATGTATAGTATTTTATTTTTTGGCATATTTCTCATTTGAGTGAATTTTTTTTAGTAAATTGCTGTCGTTGTTTAAAAGGTCATGAAAATTTTCACAAGAATTTGTTAAATTAAAAAAAAAAGAATTTGTTAAATTATATTTCACACATAAAATGGCTTTCAAAGT